GCTGCTGCTGCTGCTGTTGATGGTCTGTATCATCTATATTATTGCTGCTGTTGCTGCTATTACTTATTGTTCTGCTGCTGTTATTTCCTCCTGTACCTCTTGGGGTCCTTGTTGTTGTTGTTGCTGCTGCTGCTGCAGCAGCAGCAGCAAAGGGGCCCCCTGAGCCTAAGCGCAGCAGCAGCAAACTAGACAAACTTTTATCTGATTGTCTCTCGAATTGTTCCCTTAATAGTTTAACTGTACCAGGGTTAGCTCCTACTCTTTCTCTTCTTGCTGCTGCTGCTGCTGCTGCTGCTGCTGTTGCTGCTGTTGCTGCTGATGATGATGGTGCTCCTTCTGCTGCTGCTGCTGCTGCTGCTGCTGCTGCTGCTGCTGCTGTTGATCCTAGGAAATTAGATGTGCTGCGCGTCTTTAGTAAATCAGCACCATCATCACCACTACATACAGATGGACTTGTGCCTGTTGATTGCTGCTGCTGCTGCTGCTGCTGCTGCTGCAGTTGCTGCTGCTGCTGCTGTAGTTGTTGTTGGGGATCCCCTGCTGCTGCCCCAGCAGCAGCCTCCGCGTACGTCATACGCCGCATCCCCGAGTTGCATGCAGAGGACGAGGGGTCCATTTTATAGGAATTAAACTGTTGAGCAATATATATTGCTGCTGCTGCTGCTGCAGTTGCTGCTGCTGCTGCTGCTGCTGCTGCTGCTGCAGAGGCAGCTAAAGGGGGGAAGCAAGACAGTGGAGTGCTGCTCCGTTGCTGCTGCTATCCAGCAACTATTTAGCAGCAACAACACGCAGATGTGGAACCCCCCGCTGCTGTTGTTGTTGCTGCTGCTGCTGCTGTTGCTGCTGGTAGAGCTGCTGCTGCTGCATGCTGGTGCTGCTGCTGCTGCTGCTGCAGTCGACTGAGGCGGAGAGCGGAAGGCCGCTGGTTGCTGCTGCACTTTTATGTCATTGCTGCAGCAAGATCAGCAGCAAAATTTATTTATTTTTTATTTTCTTTTTTTATTAATAATTAAATATAAAGACATAAGCCAATAAGGCAAGATAACCTTAAATAAATGGGGCCCCCTGCAGCAGCAGCAACAACAGCAGCAGCAGCAGCAGCAACAGCAGCAGCCACTCCAGCAACAGCAGCACCGTGACTGCTGCTGCTCGTATGTGCCGACGGGCAGCAGCAGCAGCACCAGCAGCAAATAGGATGTATAATAGCTTATTATAAAGGTATTTAATTATATATTTATATAATTATTTACTATTTATTATTTATTATTTTTATTTATATTTATTTGCATGCGTTTTTATAATAAAGAAAGCAAAGAGGGAGGCAGACATGGCGATCGCGTTCTTCCCGTTGCTGCTGCTGTTGCTGTGCTGCTGCTGCTACTACTGTACTTGCTGCTCTTTTCTGCTGCTGCTGCTGCTTAATATATATTAATATTTATTTATTAATAAAAAAAATAAAAAATAAACCTTAAGAAGGGGCTGTCACCCCCTATTTGCTGCTGAGGTGCCGCTAGGGTCTAAGAGGGTACTGCGGTCTGTGTACGAGGGTTTAGGGTTTAGGAATTAGGGTTTAGGGTTTAGGGTTTTTTATGTTCTTTAATAATAAATTAAGTGTCTAGTCAGCCCCTTACTCCCCCCTGCATGCAGCAATTGGGGCTTTATTCTCCCGTCTGCTGTACGTGGGGTTATGACTAAACCCTAAACCCTCGCATATAAACAGCAATACATCTGCTGCTGCTGCTGCAGCAGCAGATGTATGAGCAGCAAAAGGAACCCTTAGCAGCAGCAACATCCACAGCAGCAGCAGCAAAGTGTGCAAGACATAACTAAGGCTAATAGTTGTTATCCTTCCTTATCTCTGTATAGTTAATAGTGTCTATATATACACATATAATTGCATGCATGCATACTTGCATGCATACATACACGCATGCATGCATGCATGCATACAACTATAAATTCACGCATGCATGCATGCACGCATGCACGCATGCAACTATAAATGCATGCATGCTCCTTGTTACTATATATGTTACTCTTCTATCCTTAAGTAACATAGGAATAATAGTAATAAATTATTATTAATTATTATTATTATTTATTATTTATTATTATTATTTATTATTATTATTTATTAATTATTATTCTTTTTTTTTCTTAATAAAGATATTTATATTTCCTTAAAATAATAAAAATCTTTATAGCATCATACCCTCATACCGTTGCATGCATGCATGCATGCATGCAACTATAAATGCATGCATATAACAAGATATGCATGCATGCATGCATGCATGCAAGCATGCATGCATGCACAGGGGTTGTAGGACAGCAGCTGATGGGGAGGAACGGTGAGACAACAATGTTGCCTCTCCTGCAGCATGCAGCAGCAGCAGCAGCAGCAGGCTGCAGCAGCAACTGCAGCAACACATCTAACGTATGTCTTGCTTCCTCCTCCTTATATCTGTGCTGTCACCCCGACACCCTGCTGCAGCTGTTGCTGCTGCAGCTGTTGCTAGAGGCTCAAGCAGCAGCAGCAGCAGCAACAACAGCAGCAGCAGCACTTAGTGCTTCTTGCCTCGCCTCTTGCTGCTGCAGGGTGTCTCCCCTAGTAAAAGTAATGTGCTGCTAGAACTGCAGCAGCAGCAAAAATCTGCATCAGCAGCAGATGCTGGGTGTTGCATCAGCAGCTGCAGCAGCGCTAGCTGCAGCAGACCACCAGCTTCTAGCTTCCTAGCTGCTTCTGCTGCTGCTGCAGCAGCAGCAGCAGCTGGGTGTCTGATGGCAGCAGCTTACCTGCTAGTGTATTCCTTATAGAGCCCTCCTTCATCGTGGGGGCTTTTTGCTGCTGTTGCTGCTGTTGTTGTTGTTGTTGTTGCTGCTGCTGCTGCTGCGGTGGTGGAGGTGTCCCTCTGTGTCTGCATGCATTGTATGGCTGCTGCGTGGTGCTGCTGTCTCTCTCTTATGAAGAGTGTGGGGTGCAGCAGCAGCAGCAGCAGCAGCAGCTTCCTCGGCGGTGTTTGCTGCTGCTGCTGCACTACTGCTGCTGCTGCTGCTGCTGCTGCTGCCACCATGCATGCGGGAGGCGACACCACTATCCCCATGTAGATGGTGGTTGTTGTTGTTGCTGCTGCTGCTGCTGCTGCTGATTGCCTGCCCCTTTAGTGTAAATCCTCTTAGATGTCTCTTGGATAGAGTAGGAGCAGCAGCAGCAGCAGGAGGATTACCTTCTGTTGCTGCTGCTGTTGCTGCTGTTGCTGCTGCTGCATGCGTATTATCTAACATAGTAGTCTTAAGACGTAATTCCTTGAATGTGCTTGCTGCCTTCTTATTAATAGTTTGCTGCTGCTGCAGTACTTTTTGCTGCTGCTGCAGTTGCTGCTCCAGGAGCAGCAAATGCTGCTTCTCCCTCTCACGACGACGTCTCCTGCTCTCCCTCTGCAGCTGCAGCAGACACGCCTCCCTCCTTATACTACGCATGCGTTTATAGCTATTAATAATCTTTTTTCTTAGATATACAGCAGCAGCAGCAAGAAGGAGGAGCAGCAGCAGCAGACCTATACAGTATAATACCTTTTCTGTTAGCCCTAATTCTCCCCACCAATGTTTCCATGTACTACTACTACTACTGCTGCTGCTGCTGCTGCTGCTGCTGCTGCTATTAAAGGGTATACCTAATACCCATGCTATACTATTCTGCTTAGATATACTTATTCCTTCTTTTATTAGGTTTTTTTTTGTTGGTAATTTTCCTTTTTTTATTAAATTTTTTGCTGCTGTTCTTGCTTCCTTTATATCTATCCATAACATTTCTCTCTCTTTTTCTCCCATTAACGGAGTATTCTCTATTAATCTTTTATATAATGGGTCTTCTTCTTCTCCTCCTCCTCCTTGTCCTTGTCCTCCTCCTCCTCCTGATGCTGCTGCCCCTTGTTGCGGTGCTCCTCCTGCTCCTGCTGCTGTATTAGACCATAGGCCTATACCATTCCCTGCTGCAGCGCCACGTAGCCATTGGCCTGTTTGTAGCTCAAGGGAGCCAAGTCTTACTAATGGCTGCTGCTGCTGCTGCTGCTGCTGCTGCAGCTGCTGCAGCTGCTGCTGTAGTCCCTGCTGTTGCAATACCTGCTGCTGGTGCAACTGTACTTGTTGTAGTTGGTCTAACTGCTGATGCTGCAATGGCTGCTGCTGCTGCTGCTGCTGCTGCTGTTGCTGCTGCTGCTGCTGCTGTATGCCTAGGGCCTCTGCTACCATTTGCTGCATCTTAATAGATACTCCTGCCTTAAGGAGATTTTCTTGTGTTATTTCTTTGCCTAATTTATTTAATTTTATTGCTGCTGCATGCGATGCATGCAGTGCATGCAGCAGCTTCTGCTGCTCATCTGCTGTTCTATTTGGTGCTGCTTGCTGCACACGCTGCAGCAAATCATCAGGTAAGACATCAGACTCTAATTCCTTCTCTGTAGGTACAGGAGATAATTTCTTCATCTTCTTCTCCTCTGCTGCTGCTTCTGCTGCTGCTGCTGCTGCTGTTGCTGCTGCTGCTGCTACTGTTCCTGCTGCTGCTGCTGCTTTAGATGATGAATCACCAGACATCTCCTCCACACTCTCGTGTGTTGACTCTGCTGCCTGCTTCTTCGTTTCTTGCTCCTGCTTCTCCCTGCAGCAGCAGCAGCAGCAGCAACAGCAGCAGCAGCAGCAACAGAAAACCGTAAGCAACAAGCTATACTCCCCAGCAGCAACAACAACAACAGCAGCACCGTCAAAAGCGGGACCAGCAACACTAAAGACAGAGCAGTAACAGATACAGCAGCAGATGCAGTAACAGCAGCAGCAACAGCAGCAGCAACAGGAGCAGGAGCTGCTGACTTGTCTGCTTGGCATTCTTTAGCTAATTGTTCTTTTTCTTGTTTTCTTTTTTCTTCTATTTGTTCTTGTGTCTCTCCTTCTTGTTCATCAAATTCATTCTTTGGTGTCTCCTTTGCAGCAGCAGCAGCAAATGCAGCAGATAACCAACTAGATACACCCCCTACTGGATGTCCTGTACCCTTACGGCGGAGGAAACGCACTGCAGCAGCAACAGCAGCAACAGCAGCAACAGCAGCAACAGCAACCGCAGCAACAACAGAAACAACAGCACACATGCATTCAGCTCATATTTAGCAGAAAATGTAGAAGCAGCAGCAGCAACAGCAGCAGCAGCAACAGCAGCAGCAGCAACAGCAGCAACAGCAACAGCAGCAGCAGCAACAGCAGCAAAGGCAGCAGCAAAATGAGCAGCAGCAACAACCAACGTCATGGGGACACAAAGCAATGGGCATTAGCAGCGGCAGCAGCAACAGCAGCAACAGTAGCAACAGTAGCAACAGTAGGGGCACACAGCAGCAGCAGGTGCAGCAGATCCAGCAGCAACAGCAGCAACAGATGCAGCAGCAACAGCAGCAGATGCAGCAGCAGCGGCAGCAGCAGCAGACTTAGTTAGGGGTTATACCTGGTTTTCCGTCTGCGGGTTCGCTGCTGCTGCTGCTGTCGTTGTCTCCTTCATCATCATCTTTGCTGCTGCTGCTGCTGCTGCTGCTGTTTCCTTCCTTCGTTCCTCCTTCCTCGTCATCATCATCATCTTTATGTTTTCTTTTTTTTGTCTCCTTTTCTTCTTTTGTCTCCTTTTCTTCTTCTCCTTCTTCTTCTTCTTCCTCCTTATTAGTGTCTCCTTTGTCTCCTTTTTTTCTTCCTCCTTCTTTATTCTTTTTTTTATCCCCTCCTTCCTCCTCATCATCATCATCCTCTTTGCTGCTGCTGCTGCTCTTGCTGCTGCTGCTGCTGTGTTTTGTGTCCCCTGAGTCGTCATCATCATCCTCCTCCTCTTGTGCTGTCTCCTTGCTGCTCTTGCTGCTCTCTTTGCTGCTCTTGCTGCTCTTTCCTGTCTCCTTGCTGCTGCTGCTCTTATCTGTCTCCTTGCTGTCTCCTTCGTCTTCTTCGTCTCCTTCATCATCATCATCTGCTGCCTCCTCGCTGCTGCGTGTCTGTACAAACACAGGACCCTGCAGCAGCAGCAGCAGCAGCAGCAGCAGCAGCAGCAGCAGCAGCAGCAGCAGAGCGCTACGCTTTACATGCCTACGGCAGCAGCTGAGTCACATACGTCTGGGCTGGAAGCTGTTGCAGCAGCAGCAGCTGCAGCAGCTGCAGCAGCTGCAGCAGCAACTGCAGCAGCAGCAGAAGATGCAGCAGTTGGTGCTGCTGTCATGCGGACAGCTGCAGTACGAGGATTTACGGGTAACAAATACAAGACACAGCAGCAGCAGCAGCAGCAACAACAACACAACAGAAGTAAGAGCAACACAAACAGCAGCAGCAGCAGCAGCAACAGCAGCACCAGCAGCAGCAGCAGGACTAACCAGAAAGAATGTATTTTCCCTCCTGAGTCTGCTAGGGGGCCCTGTCTTGCGGCTCTCTACAGGGGGAAGAGTTGAGCACAGCCTACACCTCTCGAACAGCAGCAGCAGCAGCAGCAGCAGCAGCAAATGCAGCAGCAGACGACCACATATTCTTCTTCTTCTCCTTATGGCGCCACCGGTGCTGATTGTGCTGCTCCTGCTTCTGCAGCAGCTGCTGCAAGTGCTGCTGCTTCTGCTGTTCATGGTGCTGCTGCTGCTGCTGCTGCTGGGTTCATAATACTCGGACCCCTGGCATTGGTCCGCTGTACCCTTTCTTCTGCCGCAGCTAGGTTGGGGCCCCTGGGGGCCCCTTGTTATTGGGGGGGCCCCCTTGTGTGCCATAGGGTCTTTGGGCCCCCCGGTACATCCCTGTGTGCTTCGAGGCGCCACCGGAGGCCCATGTAAGGGGGCCCCGGGGGCCCCCGATCTTAAGGGAGAAGGGAGCAGCAACAAAGGAGCAGGGCCCCTGCAGCAGCAGCAAGAAGCAGCAAATAAAGTGGGTCCCTGCAACAGCAGCAGCAGCAGGAGCTTGTCTAGGGGCCCCCACCGGCAGGGAATATAGATCCAAGGGGCCTCGTAGTCTATTGGCTCGGGGCCCCCTCTCTGTACCCTAGGGGGCCTTCTGTGGCTCCCTTGTCTGCTGCAGTACAGCAGCAACCAAAAAAAGGGATCGGGATCGGGAACGGGATCGGGATCGGGATCGGGGGAGCGGACTGGTCAGGTCTTGGGGCCTTATATAATGACGGAGAGGAGAAGAGGGGGAAAAAATTTATTTATTTATTTATTTTTCTTTCTTTTCTTCTTCTTCTTATGAATATAAATTAAATATATATATACTATTTTATCTTAATTCATGAAGACTTTATTGCTGCTGCTGCTGCTGCTGCTGCTGCTGCTGCTGTTGCTGCTGCTGCTGAGGCGGCGGCAGCGGCTGCTGCTGCTGGACACAACAGCGGGCGAGTGACTCTGCTGCCGACTCCGCTGCTGCTGCAGCAGCAGCAGCAACAACAGCAGTTGTCTTTATCTCTTTTTTCCTTTTTTTTAAATATTTAAGACATATTAGGGAGAATATATTCCCTTTAGTTGCTGCCTGCAGCAGCAGCAGCAGCAGGAGCAGCGGCAGCAGCGCTGCCTTCTTGCTGCTGCTGCGGCTCCCGCATACCCTTAAACTTGGGTCCTTCTACCTTCAATTAACAAAAAATGTTGCTGCTGCTGCTGTTGCTGCTGCTGTTGCTGCTGCTGTTGCTGCTGCTGCGCTGCTGTGTCTGCCTTGGTTGCTGCTGGTGTCCGCCTAGTCTATGGGCTCGTTCCTTCTTACACCATTGCTGCTGCTCTCTTGCTGCTGCTCTCCTGCTGCTGCTGCAGCTCCAGCAGCAGCAGGAGGAGCTGCAATAGGGTGCACAACAGCTGCAACAACAACAGCGGCAGTAGCAGCAGCAGCAAAGAAGAGCAACAACCCGTGTCTATCTGGCCCTTGAGTACTAGTAGTTGCTCTCCTGCTGCTGCTGCTGCTGCAGTGTCTGCTGCTGCAGAGGAGACAACAGGAGACAGGTAGTCCTTCCTGTTTCCTCTGTCCCCTCCGCCTCCTCTCCTTCCCTCCTACTAAACATCTACATAGCTAGCTAGCTAGCTAGCTACACGACTACCTGTCTAGTTATTCAGTTAGCTAGTACCTCAGTTCGTCAGCTAGCTACACTAGCTAGCTAGCTAGCTAGCTAGCTAGCTAGCTAGCTAGCTAGCTAGCTAGTGTCTATTAGTTAAGAAAGTCCGTAATAAGAGGGAAGAAAGGAGACAAATAAGAGAGAGGTGTCTCCTTTCTTTTTTTTTCCTTATTTATATTTATTAATAAAAAGAAAAGAGACAAATAAAAAGGAGACAGATAAGTAAATAAAAAGGAGACAGTAAATAAGAAGGAGACAGTAAATAAGAAGGAGACAGTAAATAAGAAGGAGACAGTAAATAAGAAGGAGACAGTAAATAAGAAGGAGACAAGGAAGAGAGACAGATGCCCCTCTATAGGCAATAAAGCAAATAAACTCTCAGCTAGCCAATACACCAGTAGGCTAGCTAGCTAGCTAGATAACTAGCTAGCTAGGGAGCTAACTAGCTAGCTACCTACAGTCATCTAGCTAGGCAGCTAACTAGCAGCAGCAGCCCAGCTGGTATGGCAGCTACTGCTAGCTAGCTAGCTAGCTAGCTACCTCGCTAGCTAGCTACCTCGCTAGCTAGCTAGCTAGCTGCTGCCTCTTATGCTGCTAATACGAATACAACAGCAAGTATATTAAGAATAAGAGTAGCTGCGCATACACCTGAAGTTGCTGCCCAATGGACCCTTTGCCCTACAGGCACAGAGAACTCCACACTCCCTGCTGCTGCTGCTGCTGCTGCCTCCTCTCCTGCTGCTGCTGCTTCTGTTGCTTCTGCGGTGGCCTTAAGCTGCTGCTGTTGCTGCTCTTGTCCTCCACAGGATAGACCCACAACAGGTGCAGCAGCAGTCATCCGCAGCAGGCCGTTGCAGCTGCTGTTGCTGCTGCTGCAGGGGGGACCATATCTCAGGTGTACAGGCAGCTGTACCTTTACTTCACGAGTGGTGCTGCTGCTGCTGCTGCTGCTGTCCTCCTGCAGCAGACTGGGGTGTACGTACACCTCCTGCCGCACAAGAGGAGGGGGCCCCAGCTTAGAGGAGTAACTGGGTTGCTCCACATCAACTAAGACACTGCCATGGGTACAGTTGGGGGCCCCTTGGGGGCCCCCGTGGGAGCAAGAGGGCATGAAGAGAGTGGAGGGTTGAAGGAGCAAGGGGCCCCCAGGGGCCCCTGTTAGTACCCTCCCATGGGTATCCGAGGCCCCCAATTCATATGTCTGATCAGGGTCAGCAAATAACTGCTGGGGTAGACGGTACTCTAGCCAAAGAAGACATGCTTCCTCCTTTCCTGCTGCTGCTGCTGCTGCTGCTGCTGCTGTACTCTGCTGCTGCTTCAGCAAGACGCGAGACTCAAAGACTAGATGGAAACCTTTGCCTAACAGAGTCGTTGAGGCCCCGGCTAGGGACAAGGAAACGCCACTGCTGCTGCTGCTGCTGACTGCGTGGCTGCTGCTACCGTAGATGCTCACTGGTGTTTGCTGCACCAGCAGCAGCAGCAGCAGCAGCGGCAGCTGTATATGTCTGGCCATGGCTAGTCTAGGGGCGGGGGTCCCTCTCTCCCCTAGAGGCTGCTACTGTGTGTACCTGCTGCTGTTGCTGCTGTTGCTGCTCCTGTTGCTGCTGTTAACCACACAGACACCGCAGGGCTGGGGGCCCTGCTGCAGCAGGTGTGCTTGCCCCTAAGGGAGTTTAGGAAGCGATGATTAGATGTGTTTATTTTATTGAAATAAATACAAAAAATAATGCAACAAATATATCTTTTGCTGCTGCTGCAGCAGCAGGAACAGGAACGGCGCTGTAGCCGTTGCTGCTGCTGCAGCCACTGCTGCCGTTCTCACCAAACAGCCTCTGGTGGGGCCCCCGGGGGCCTCACGGGGGGCCCCGAGGGGCCCCCCCTTAACAGCTGCCTTCTTCATCAGACAAAGAAGAAATAAATTTATTTTATTGAAGCCAAGGTGCAGTTAGTATCCTGATGGTGTGAGGGGCCCCCTTACAGGCAACTGGGGCCCCTGCAACCGCTACGGCTGCTGCCCCGTTGCTGCAGAAGACTTCCCCGCTGCAGGATCAATAAAAACACAGAAGCTGCAGCAGCTGCAACGTCTGCAGCAGCTGCATCAGCGGCAGACACAAGCAATTGACGGACGGGCAGGAAGACCTTCCGCTGCAGCAGAAGCTGCGGTCCTGTAGCAGTTGAAGTCACTGCTGCTGCTGCTGCAGCAGCAGCCGCAATTGGATCAGCTGCTGCAACATGCATAGGTGGCAGAAGATGTGCCCCCTACACCTACTAGGGGGCAATGCTGCTTGCTGCCCTAGGGGGCCCCACCTCTTGGGGGGCCCCAGGCTTAGGTTGATGGGGCCCCTACTTCGTGCCCTACCTGTCAGCAGGAGGGCCCCCCCACGACCTCGTAGTAGTATGCGTTTGTTGGCCCGTTCTGCAGCGAGCAACATCAGCACCAGCAGCAACACGTGCAGCAGCACTAGCAGCAGCAGCAGCAGCAGCAAATACAGCAGCAGACAGGCAACTGTTGGACGTTTGTTTTTCCGTTGTTTAAGTTCAGCAGCAGATACAACTTCTGCAGCCGCTGCTGCTACAGCAGCAGAGGTTGCAGCAGCAGAAGTTGCTGCTGCAGCTCCTGGGCCCCCCCAAAAGAAGCGGCTTGGGGGCCCCCCTCCCCCCCCTCGGCTACAGTTGCTGCAGCGTCTGCAGCGAGTAGTTGAGGAGCTGCTGCAGCTACAGCAGCAGCAGCAGCAGCAGCGATTCGGCAGTAGAGAGAGAATGACGTATACTGGTCTATCTGATGAGGCAATAGTAGGTACAGACGAGGTGTGGGGCCCCACAGGGGGGCCCTTAGGGGGCCCCTCAGGGGCCCCTTCAGATACAACTGATGCTGATGGTATGTGGGAGGAGAGTACGGTTGCTTCTGAGGAGAGCTCCTGCCTGACTCCTCTGCAGCAGAGGCGGCAGCAAAGACAGCTTAATCAGCAGCAGCAGCTGCTGCTGCAGCAGCAGCAGCAGGAGCTACAGGAGGAGCTACGCAGAATAACAGATGACCTAGTAAGACTATGCGGACGTATGAGGCCCCGCGAGCTGCTGGAGGTGCTGCGGCTGCTTGCTGCAATAAGGAGGAGGGAGGCGCCACTGCTGCTTGCTGCTACCCAGGTGCTGCTGCAGCAGCAACCAGATGAGAAAATGCAGCTGCTGCTGCTACCTATAGAGCAGCAGCAAAAACAAGAAGGGGTAGAGGCACTATCCGTGCTGCAGACAGTTATGCTGCTGCGCCACCTGCAGGTGCTGCAGTTCCCGTGTCTCCCCTTAGCACAGAGGGCACTGCAGCACATAGATGAGTCCCTTACTGTTGCTGCACAGAGCTGCATGCAGCTGCACTACCTGCAGCAGCAACAGCAGCAGCAGCAGCAGCAGCAGCAGCAGCAGCAGCGGGTGCCTGATTGCTTTGCTGAGAGGGATTATGCTGTCCTTGCTCCTTTTATACCATGGCAAAGGCCTGTAGAGTGTGAGGAAGCTGCAGCAGCAACAGCAGCAACAGCAGCAACAGCAGCAACAGCAACTGCAGCAAAACCAATGACTGCAGCAGAAGTCCTTGAACAAATTGCTGCAGCTGCTGCTCCCTCTGCTGCTGCTGCTGCAGACTTGGGGCCTTATGAACTCGACCGGCAATCCCCAGAAGCAGCAGCAGCAGCACAAGCAGCAGATGCAGCAACAGATGCAGCAACAGATGCAGCAGGAGGAGAAGTAGATGAGCTTCGTACCCGTTGCGCGCTGCATGCAGTTGGGGTGTCTCTCCTCAGCAACAGTTTAGTTTATTTTGCTGCTGCTCTTGCTGCTGCGCAGCTACGTTGTGCTGCTGTTAGGCGCATAAGCGATTTGCTGCAGCAAATGCTCATCATAAGAGCAGCAGAATTCAATGCACCACAAACCGTCTCCCTTGTATGCAACCCCCGCTGCTGCTGCTGCTGCTGTTGCTGCTGTTTCTGCCCCTGCAACTGCTGCTGTTATTGCTGCTGCTGCTGCTGCTGCTGCTGCAGGAGCACAGAATCACTGTGTTGTTTTTTTTGCTCAGGCTCTGAACTGTCTAAGCTTAGGTCGTACATCTGTTGCATTAACAAATGTGCTGCTGCATAGGACTCCTGTCTTGCTGCCTTTTTTTTCTTTTCCTCTTCTTACCTTGCAGCTAAATATAATTACGCGGCTGCTGCAGCTAAATGGTCATGTGCTGCAGCAGCAGCAGCTTAAGAACATCAGACGTTTCCCACCCCACAAACAACACCAGATACAACAGCAGCAGCAACAGCTGCAGCAGGAACAGCAGCAGGAGCAGATTGATGTGCATGCACTGCCACAGCTATGGTGCAACATTGTTTCTAGGCTATCATCAGCACTGCCACAAGACCCAGCAGCAGCAGCAGCAGCAGCTAGCAGCAGCACGTCTCGTGCTCGTCTTAGAGACTTGCTGCATGACCATATCTTAGCAGCACAGGAAGCATACGACGCTTCCCTCGAGAAGATCTACCAGCAGCACCTGCAACAGCACCAGCAGCAGCAGCAGCAGCAGCAACAGCAGGCTGGAAGTACAAATGGACTTCCCTCTGGGGCCTCTGCATGCGCAGCGGACGATGCAGCCGGAGCTGTTGGGTCCCACGGTGGTCCCCCAGTGCCGTATCTACCCTCTTCGTCCTTTCCGGGGGCCCCAGTGGGGGCCCCTGTGGCGACTCTTGCGGGGGCCCCTACCCTCCCCTTAGTGCAGCCACAGGCATTAAAGAATGTAGTAAATGCACTGAATTCTTTTTCTCGTCTTGCCCATATGGGTCTTGTGTCTCTGCGTGATGTATCAGCAGAAGCAGCAGGGGCTGCTGCTGTAGCTGCAGCAGCAGCAGCTGCTGCTGCCGATCAGTTGGTGCCCGCAGCGATGCAAGAGGAGCAGCAGATGCTCCGCAACCCCGGTGGAGCACCACCAACAGCAGGAGGAGGAACAGCAGCAGAGGAGGATGAGGTGCACCGGTGGCAGCGCAGCAGAGCACGACTCAGCAGCATTGTGGAGTGTACAGGTGGCTTCCGCATGCGCGGTGTAGAGATGACACCAGGAGACCGCCGCAGCAGCAGCAGCATCTATGCATTCTTCCATAGAGCTATCTTGCTGCTGGTGCAGCACCAGCAGCACCTCGATCCCCAGTCTCTTAGTAATGCTGTTAATGCATTCGCAAAGGCTAGGCTTCAAGGGTAAGCAGCAGAAGCACGACGAACAGCAACAGCAGCAGCAGCGGAACCAAGAGCAGCAGAGGCACCAGGAGCAGCAACAGCAACTGCAACAGCATGTCCATGCTACTGGAGTACCCAGGCTGCTGTTGCTTGTGTTCTTGCTGCTACTGCTGCTGTTGCTACGCATGCACCCTGACCCCGTGCAGCTCTTCCTTCTTCAAAACAGCACAAGCCGATTGATAGTCGATACTCAGCAAAGGATAGCAACACCACACAAGCAGAAGCACCAACAGCAGCAGCCCCAACAGCAGCAGCAGCAACAACAACAACAACAGCAACAGCAGCAGCAGCAGCAGCAGCAGCAAGAGTTGAATGTCTTGTTTGCTTGCAGGCATGCGATTTATGTCTCCCAGCTAATCCCGCGAATGATTGAAACGGCAGAAAATTTCAGTTGGCAACATTTGAGCATGACACTCAATGGATTTGCATGTATGCTGCTGCTGCTGTTGCTGTTGCTGTTGCTGCTGTTGCTGCTGCTGCTGATGATGATGTTTCTGCTGCTGCCGTTGCTGCTGCTGCTGCCGCTGATGTCGGTGCTATTGATAGTAGTTGCTTTTGTGCAGCTCCTACCCTCTTGCTGGTGCTAGCAGTTTATTCTGGTGGATGTTGTTTGTGTTGCTGCTGCTGCTGCTGCTGCTGCTGCTGTTTTTACTGCAGTTATGCGTTGTAAGGAAGACCGACTTCTGCATGCGTTTTGGAATGTCTTAAGGAAACGACCTCTCCATCTAATGGGAGGTAGGAGGGTTTACATTAACCCTAAACCCTAGCCTCAAACCCTAAACCCTAAACCCTATTGCCCTCCTCCCACAACTAAACGGAGAGATGGTACCTACGTGGTGCGGTGTATGTACATCTGCGGTGTCTGTACACCTGCAGCACAAGCGACAACTAACATAATTCATGCAATGGGAAGTTTTGGCTTCAGACACCCCGAGATGATCAGGTACTCCAGCAGCAACAGCAACAGCAGAAGCATCAGCAGCAGCAGCAGCAGAGGTAGCAGCTGCAGCACTGTCTCTAGCAGGAGGAATACTGCACCGGGGCGAAGAGCAGCCGTATTAGGGCAACCAGCTGCAGGAGCTGAAAGCTCTGCCGTAACGGCTGCCGCAGCTGCAGCGGCTGCAGCAGCAGGAGCTCCTGTTGCTGCTATACACTTGGATGGTTTTTCTGTGTTGTGCTTGTCTTTGCAGCCGCATGGCGACGTCTTCTTGGGTGTCTGCGCAACTTCCTGAACTCACCACCCAGGGTAAGTAGTTTCTTTGCTACTGTTGCTGCTGCTGTTGCTGCTGCCTGCCCATTACCAACAGGAGCAGCAGCATATGTGATGGTTGTTTCTCCTTTTGTGTATGCAGGCCTGACGAACCTCCTATTCTCGCTAGTGGTGTTAGACTGCGTATATGAGTGCAGCTTCCCGCCTCAGCAGCTGCCGCAGCAGCAGCAGCCGCTGCCGCCACAGCAGCAACAGGGGGGTGTTTGGCAACTGCTGCTGCAAGCTGCATGCAGGAGAAAAGACCTCAAGCTGGAGGCGATGACAATGCTGAAAGTATCGGCTATGGCGCTATTTGGGGTGTATGGGGACCCTGCAACAGCAACAGCAGCAGCAGCTGCTGCTGCTGCCGAGCAAGCAGCACCACAGCAGCATAGCAGCAGCCGGAACGCATACAACCGTCTATATGACAGTAACGGGAATTTCTTGTTGCATGCGCTGGAGCAGCAGCAGCGGCAGCTAGAGCAGCAGCAAGGAATACAAGCAGAGGCCCCCATAGCAAGAAGCTGCATGCAGCTGCAGCACAGGAGAATTCCTGCTGCTCTAGTAAAGCAACCCGATTTTATTTTCTTACCATATAATCAGCTGGATGAAGGGCATAAATTCCTTGTATGCTGCTGCTGCTGCTCCTGTTGCTGCTCCTGCTGCTGTGGCTGCTGCTCCTGCTGCTGTGGCTGCTACTCCTGCTGCTGTGGCTGCTACTCCTGCTGCAGCCGCTACAGTTGCTTGTGCTGCTGTTCTTGTTGCTGGTGCTGGTACAGCTTGTCTATGCTAGGATGCGCATCCCTCAGAAGCAGCTTGTTGGTTCCTGTTATTGCTGTTGCTGCTGCGGTTGCTGCTTCTGCTGCTGCAGGCCGCACTGCTGAACACGAAGACACTGATGTTTTATCCAGGAAAGCCTTCAGGTAACAGAGAGCGACGGCTGTCGTTGTTGCTGCTGTTGCTTTTGCTGCTGTGGCTGTAGCTGGGGTTGGTGCTTGGCTGCTGCTGCATGTCTACGCGAAATGTTACAGGGGAACAGCTGCTGCTTTCTTCTATTGTTTCTTGCTGGAGACACTAACCTGCTGCTGTTGCTGCTGTGCTGCTGCTTCAGGCATGCACCTGCAAGTGGCCGCGACTGTGCGCAACATGGGGCTGCATGCGCTGCATGAAGTTATAATAGGTGAGGCAGGCAACAACAAGAGAAAACAGAAAAGAGGCGCCGCTGCAGCACTACCAGCAGCAACAGCAGCAGCTGCTGCAGCACTGTGTGTCTTGTGTACAGATCCCTACGTAATAGACATTCTTATACAAGACAATCTTCCTCCTACACAACCACGCAGGAGGAGAAGCCGATATGAGGGCTACACAGCAGGAGGAGGAGGAGGAGCTGCAGCAGCAGCAGTACCATGGAGAAGACGAGAGCAATTTAGACAAGGGCCCCAAACTACATCAACAGCAGCAACACCAACAGCAGCAACAGCAGCAGCAGCAGCAGGAAACTTCAGCAGTTGCGATGCAATGTTTTGTTAGTTTGAGGTTTCGGGTCCCTCCTGCTGCTACGCTGTTAAGCGCATGCAGCTGCTGAGGAGATGCGTTGTCATTGCTGCTGTTGCTGCTGCTGCTGCTGCGTGTGGGTGCTGTTGCTGCAGCACCCACACAAACCTGCAGCAGCAGCAGCGGCTGCAGCTAAGAAGACACCGCCTCTATTCGGCCAGCGCCAGACAGTTTTTCTTTACAATTGATGATCTGCTGTTTAGGGTTTAGGGATTAGGGTTTAGGGATTAGGGTTTAGGGATTAGGGTTTAGGGTTGGTGGATAAGGGTTGGGGTTTACGAAGTACCCCATCACGCGAATAGTAGCAGCTGTTCATCTGCTGCGGTGCAGCTGCTGCGGTGCAGCTGCTGCGGTGCAGCTGCTGCGCTGCTGCAGCAGCTTCGATACGCATTTCAATGAGCAGCAGCATAGCCCATGTCTCTGCCACTCCAAACACCTGCTGTTGCTGCTGCTGCTTCTGCTGCTGCTTCTGTTGCTGCTGCTTCTGCTGTTGAGTAATTCACAACACAACGGACGCTCTTGACATCGCTGCAACAATGATAGTAACAGCAGCATTAGCTACTGCTGCTGCAGTTGCTGCTCCAGCTGCAGCGTGCACCACTGCAGCAGCAGCAAAATTGCGATTATTCTTCCATCGTTCTCATCGGCTATTGCTGCAGCTGTCCGCAGCAGCAGCAGCACAGCGACCCAGCAGCAGAATGCTGCCGCGTCCCATATTAATTGCTGCTGCTGCTGCTGCTCTTGTTTCTTCCTTTGCTGCGCCTGCGAAGGCACAGGGTGTACAGGCATACGCCTCCCGGAGACAATGCATGCGAGCATGCAGCTGCTCCTGCTGAAGCTTGTGGTGCAGCCAGCTGCAGCAGCAGCAGCAGCACGAAGCATCCATCACAACCCTGTAAATGACAAATGGAGACTGCAGACTGTGCGGACGTGAAGCTGGAAGCTGCTGCTAGCTGCTGCTGCAGCAAAAGCTGCTAGCTGCAGCAGCAGCAGCTGCTGCAGTCCAATGCCCCTCCTTCCCTCCGTCCTTCCCCTTCGATCTCCAACATCAGCAAGTTTCATTGTCACCGGAATATCTTCTGCCGGCTGCTGCTGCTGCTGCAACTGCTGCTGCTGCAACTGCTGCTGCTGCAACTGCTGCTGCTGCAACTGCTGCTGCTGCAACTGCTGCTGCTCTCCTCCTCCTCCTCCTCCTCAACTATAGAGAAGCCCGCCCCTACTGCCTTCCCGCATATAAATAGATCTCCTCTCCTCTCCTACTGAAGAATTCAACTCCATAGAAATTATCCTACAAGCACCCCTCTAAAACTATAAGAGAGGCTCCCTTATATATATATATATATATA